CTGAGAAGACCCGAAGCTTCGTGCGGAGCGACAGACCAGGTAGCTTCCACACAGCGTTACGCAACCGATGAAAAGATATTGCCGCTCGACTGATTCGGAGTGAGACCTCTGCTGTTAAACCGGAGCCGGTCATGAGCACACTGCCCAGGTATGGGAAACCCTCCACTCCCTCCACAACTGCCCCATCACCGATTGGGAGTTGTGGGGGTGGAGTTCCCGATGGTACAAAATACCCAGGCAGGTGCTTAGTTTTGGTGGGGCTGATGGTAAGGCCCCACCTCTTAGTGGCACGCTCCAGTCTCAGCAGCAGCGTCTCCAACTCCTCCTCTGACTGAGCAGCTATTACCAAATCATCAGCATACATAACGTGGTTGAACAATAAGGAGCCATCCCTTGACCGCACCCGGGCATCGATCAACCTCCCATTGTATCTGTACCAGATGGAAATTCCTCTGGTACAGCTACTGAAGGCTTCACGAACTACGTGGTCGAAATAGATGTTAAATAATATGGGAGCCAGAGGACATCCCTGTCGCACCCCAAGGTGTACAGGAAATGGCTCCGACTCCCGGCCACGTAGTTTTACCCGGGCCCGCTCACTATCATGAAGGTCCTTAATGATCGTGAGCAGAGGGTCAGGGACTCCAAAAGCACGAAGAACGACCCAGAGCCCAGGCCTACTGATAGTATCATAGGCTTCCACATATCTGCAAAGCCACGCAGAAGGGAAACAACAAAACAATACAAACACAAAACAACAAAATTATCACGACGTTTCGACTGCAACACAAGCAATCATCATCAGGTGTGAAAACCACAGCAAGAAAATTTGGAAAAAGTGGCGGGTTTATTTTTAACGTTAGCACCACGGAGAGCGATTTGACAGTTTTGTTCAGATGGACGAGTCCATCTATGTTCGGAAAAGAGGAGGGGGGAAACGAAAAATAATGGATGCGGCCTGAAAGCCACCTTAAGCGTGATCAATCAATATTATTACTTTTCGTCTCCCCCCTCCTCTTTTCCGAACATAGATGGACTAGTCCATCTGAACAAACTGTCAAATCGCTCTCCGTGGTGCTAACGCTAAAAAAACGCCACTTTTTTCAAATTTTCTTGCTGTGGTTTTGACACCTGATGATGATGATGATGATTGCTTGTGTTGAAGTCGAAACGTCGTGAGAATTTAGTTTTTTTTGTGTTTGTATTGTTTTGTTGTTTCCCTTCTGCGTGGCTTTGCCGAACGAACCAAGAATATGAATCACACAGATTCCTATCTGAAATGTGATTCCCACCACCCTCCGGCACAGAAGGATTCCCTCATCAAAACACTGCACCATAGGGCTCACTGCATTTCTGACCAACACCACCTCGCCAGTGAACTGAAACAGTTCTAGATTTGAAGCTTTCGTGACTGCAAGGATCCATACTCTTTGGTTCTATTCGGTAAAGTCACCACGTAGGTAAAAAATAAAACAACAAAAATCACGACGTTTCGGCCACAACAGAAGCGGCCTTCATCAGGTGAAGGGATCAGGCTGTCTCGAGGACAGCGCTGGAGTGAAACACAGCCAAGTTCAGACCGCGACCTTTAAGCTGTGTGAGAGTAAACAAGGTGCCTTGACAAAGGAATTAACATAAAAAAATTTGCATGTTAATAGGCGGACTTAGCATGATGAAAGGTAGGGAGAGGGTCGACCTGTGCAGGCTGGCGAGGGGGCAAGGTAGCGTCCACATGCTGGTGGTGTGGAAAAGGGGAGTTTAAGAAGGTGCGAAAGTTTGGGGTACCACTACTTGAAAAATATACTGTACCATTGAAAATTAGTTTAATGTTTGGTTCGATTTAGAACATCTTTCCAATGGTTGCTTAATTTGAAACCATCTTCTCGGTTGAAATTGTGTCTGTGTTTGTAGATCTGAATTGCCTCGTGAACAAATCTCTGATAAAAACCCGTGGGTTTGCAAAGGACCTTGGTATCGGAGAAAATTATATCGTGATCACCCACAGCGTTGTAACAGTGATCAGCCACGGCAGAAGAATTCGTTCTGCCGTGTTTCAAATCTGATTTGTGCTCGCGAATTAGGTCAGAAACATGTCGCTTTGTCTCCCCGATATAGCAGTCACCGCAGGTACAACTCAATTTGTAAACCCCGGGGTACTGTAAGTCAGGAATGACATCCTTCACGGATGGGATCAGATCACGAATTTTGTGTACTGTATTGAACCGGACCTGGATCTTGTGTTTATTTAGAATTTTGGAAATCTTTTTAGTAACACCTGTTATATATGGTAGTGTGATGGTTTTGACTGGAGTATCAAGTGGTTGTTTCTGTATGGACGGAGAAACAGCTTGGCGGATGGTACGGTCAGAGTATCCATTCCTTTTGAGGGCCAGGTGTACATGTTTTAATTCACTGGTCAGGTGGTGTTGGTCCGAAATGCAATGAGCCCTATGGTATAACGTTTTGATGAGATAATTATTTTGAGCTGGGTGGTGGTGGGAATCAGGTTTCAGGTAGGAATCTATGTGGGTGGGTTTCCTGTAGACAGAATGCCCCAATGAGCCATCAGGTCTCCTCTCAAACAGAACATCTAAGAATGGTATCTTGCCATCTTTCTCCACTTCCATGGTGAATTTGATGGCGGGATGTCTGGAATTGATATGGTGTAGGAAAAGGTTCAGAGCTGGGAGGCCATGTGGCCAAATGACGAAAGTGTCATCCACATATCTCTTCCACAGGGAAGGTCTGAGGGTGGAAGTCTGGATGGTGTCCGATTCAAATTTCTCCATGAAAACATTGGCTATCACTGGTGACAAGGGGGAACCCATAGGGGTACCCTCATTTTGTTTGTAGAAGGAACCATTCCAAGTAAAGTAGGCGTTGGTGAGGCAGTGCCTGACCAGCGTAGGTACCTCGGGGTTTAGTCCATGTTGTACCAAATTTTCAATTATTTCAATTGTATCAGGTACCAGGACCTTGGTGAGTCTATGGGTGGCAGTGTTGAGTCTATGGGTGGCAGTGTTGAGTCTACGTGGCCTATCAACGTCACCACTACGTGGCTTATCAACATCACAACCACGTGGCCTATCAACATCACCACCACCACGTGGCCTATCAACATCACCACCACGTGGCCTATCAACATCACCACCACGTGGCCTATCAACATCACCACCGCGTGGCCTATGAATATCACCACCACGTGACCTATCAACATCACCACCACCACGTGGCCTATCAACATCACCACCACGTGGCCTATCAACATCACCACCACGTGGCCTATCAACATCACCACCACGTGGCCTATCAACATCACCACCACGTGGCCTATCAACATCACCACCACGTGGCCTATCAACATCACCACCACGTGGCCTATCAACATCACCACCACGTGGCCTATCAACATCACCACCACCACGTGGCCTATCAACATCACCACCACGTGGCCTATCAACATCACCACCACGACCACGTTGCCTATCAACATCACCACCACGTGGCCTATCAACATCATCACCACCACGTGGCCTATCAACATCACCACCACGTGGCCTATCAACATCACCACCACGACCACGTGGCCTATCAACATCACCACCACCACGTGGCCTATCAACTTCACCACCACGTGGCCTATCAACATCACCACCACCACGTGGCCTATCAACGTCACCACCACGTGGCATATCAACATCACCACCACCACGCGGCCTATCAACGTCACCACCACGTGGCCTATCAACATCACCACCACGTGGCCTATCAACATCACCACCACGTGGCCTATCAACATCACCACCACGTGGCCTATCAACATCACCACCACCACGTGGCCTATCAACATCACCACCACGTGGCCTATCAACATCACCACCACCACGTGGCCTATCAACGTCACCACCACGTGGCCTATCAACATCACCACCACGTGGCCTATCAACATCACCACCACGTGGCCTATCAACATCACCACCACGTGGCCTATCAACATCACCACCACGTGGCCTATCAACATCACCACCACCACGTGGCCTATCAACATCACCACCACGTGGCCTATCAACGTCGAGGTAGTTAACATCTCATAGCCACCTGGGGCTTCGTCAGGGGTCATGATGGAAGCCACGACCTCCTGCACACCAGGCGAGGGAGTTAACATCTCATAGCCACCGGGAGTCATGAGGGTGGTGATGGAACCCACGACTTCCTGCACACCAGGCGAGGGAGTTAACATCTCATAGCCACCGGGAGTCATGAGGGTGGTGATGGAACCCATGACCTCCTGCGCACCAGGCGAGGTAGTTAACATCTCATAGCCACCGGGAGTCATGAGGGTGGTGATGGAACCCACGACCTCCTGCACACCAGGCGAGGGAGTTGACATCTCATAGCCACCGGGAGTCATGAGGGTGGTGATGGAACCCACGACCTCCTGCACACCAGGCGAGGGAGTTGACATCTCATAGCCACCGGGAGTCGTGAGGGTGGTGATGGAACCCACGACCTCCTGCACACCAGGCGAGGGAGTTGACATCTCATAGCCACCGGGAGTCATGAGGGTGGTGATGGAACCCACGACCTCCTGCACACCAGGCGAGGTAGTTAACATCTCATAGCCACCGGGAGTCGTGAGGGTGGTGATGGAACCCACGACCTCCTGCACACCAGGCGAGGGAGTTGACATCTCATAGCCACCGGGAGTCATGAGGGTGGTGATGGAACCCACGACCTCCTGCACACCAGGCGAGGGAGTTGACATCTCATAGCCCCCGGGAGTCATGAGGGTGGTGATGGAACCCACGACCTCCTGCACACCAGGCGAGGGAGTTGACATCTCATAGCCCCCGGGAGTCATGAGGGTGGTGATGGAACCCACGACCTCCTGCACACCAGGCGAGGGAGTTGACATCTCATAGCCACCGGGAGTCATGAGGGTGGTGATGGAAGCCACGACCTCCTGCACACCAGGCGAGGGAGTTGACATCTCGAGGTACCTTGTGGAAGTGAACCTCTACGAACTTGCCGAAGCGGCTGCTGTTGTTGTTGCGCAACGTCTTGGCGTTGCCAAACGCCTCCAGCAGCGGGTTGGCTGCGGAGCATCAACATCATCATCAGCATCATCAGCAGTAGCAGTAGCATCATCATCAGCATCAACATCATCATCAGCAGTAGCATCAGCAGAAGCATCATCAGTATCATCAACATCATCATCAGCAGCAGCAGCATCATCATCATCAGTATCATCAGCATCAACAGTATCATCATCAGCAGCAGCAGCAGTAGCATCATCATCAGTATCATCATCATCATCAGCATCATCATCAGTATCATCATCATCATCAGCATCATCATCAACATCATCATCATCAGCATCATCATCATCATCAGTATCATCATCACAGTAGCATCATCATCAGTATCATCATCATCAGCAGCATCATCATCATCAGTATCATCATCATCAGCATCATCATCAACATCATCATCAACATCATCATCATCAGCATCACCATCATTAGTATCATCATCAGCATCATTATCATCATCAGCAGCAGCAGCAGTAGCATCATCATCAGTATCATCATCATCAGCATCATCATTATCAGTATCATCATCATCATCAGAAGTAGCATCATCATCAATATCATCAGCATCAGCAGTAGCATCATCATCAGCATCAACATTATCATCATCAGCATCATCATCATCAGCATCAACCTCATCATCAGCAGTAGCATCATCATCAGCATCATCATCAACATCATCATCAGCATCATCATAATCAGTATCATCAGCATCATCAGCAGCAGCAGTAGCATCATCATCAGTATCATCATCATCAGCACCAACATTATCAGTATGATCAGCATCATCATCAGCATCATCATCAGCAGCAGTAGCATCATCATCAGCATCATCATCAGAAGTAGCATCATCATCAACATCATCATCATCAGCATCATCATCATCAGTATCATCATCACAGTAGCATCATCATCAGTATCATCATCATCAGCAGCATCATCATCATCAGTATCATCATCAGCATCATCATCAACATCATCATCAACATCATCATCATCATCAGCATCATCAGTATCATCATCAGCATCATCATCATCATCATCAGCATCATCATCAGTATCAGCATCATCATCATCAGCATCATCATTATCAGTATCATCATCAGCATCATCATCATCAGCAGCAGTAGCATCATCATCATCATCAGAAGTAGCATCATCATCAATATCATCAGCATCAGCATCAGCAGTAGCATCATAATCAGCATCAACATTATCATCATCAGCATCATCATCATCAGCATCAACCTCATCATCAGCAGTAGCATCATCATCAGCATCATCATCAACATCATCATCATCAGCATCATCATAATCAGTATCATCAGCATCATCATCATCAGCAGCAGCAGTAGCATCATCATCAGTATCATCATCATCAGCATCAACATTATCAGTATGATCATCATCAGCATCATCATCAGCATCATCATCAGCAGCAGCAGTAGCATCATCATCAGCATCATCATCAGAAGTAGCATCATCATCAACATCATCATCAGCATCAGCATCATCAGCATCAGCAGTAGCGTCATCATCAGCATCAACATTATCATCATCAGCAGCAGCATCATCATCAGCATCATCATCAGCATCAACCTCATCATCAGCAGTAGCATCATCATCATCAGCATCATCATCTGCATCAACATCATCAGTAGCAGTAGCATCAACATCATCATCAGCAGCAGTAGCAACATCATCAGCAGTGGCATCATCGTCAGTAGCATCATCATCATCAACATCATCATCAGCATCAACATCATCATCAGCATCAACATCAACAGTAGCAGTAGCATAATCACCATCATCAGCATCAACATCATCATCAGCATCAACATCATCAGCATAATGAGTAGCATCATCATCATCATCATCAGTACCATCATCATCATCAGCACCATTATCATCAGCATCATCATCATCAGCATCATCATCATCATCAGCATCATCAGTAGCATCAGCAGCAGCAGTAGCATCATCCTCATCAGCATCATCACCAGCAGTAGCATCATCATCATCATCAGCAGCAGTAGCATCATCATCATCATCAGTATCATCATCAGTAGTATCATCATCATCATCAGTAGCATCATCAGTAGCATCATCATCATCATCAGTATCATCATCAGTAGTATCATCATCATCATCAGTAGCATCATCACAATCAGTAGCATCATCATCAGCATCATCATCAGCAGCAGCAGCAGCATCATCATCATCAGCAGCAGCATCATCAGCAGCATCATCAGCAGCATCATCAGCAGCAGCAGCATCAGCATCATCATCAGCAGCAGCATCATCGTCATCAGCATCATCATCAGCATCATTATCATCATCAGTATCATCATCGTCATCAGTAGCATCATCATCAGTAGTATCATCATCATCAGTAGTAGCATCATCATCGGCATCATCATCAGTAGTATCATCAGTAGCATCATCACAATCAGTAGCATTATAATCATCATCAGTATCATCATCATCAGCAAAAAAGTTCCAATGTTGTAGCACTTTCCCCAACAGCCTGCGAGAGGCTGCCTGGGAAATCTTTGTCTGTGTCTCACCTGCCACGATCTTCTCATCGATATCTTGGCCTGATCCATATGCCTCCGTAAGATACCTGCAACACCACCACCATCATCATCAGCACCATCATCATCAGCGTCATCACCATCACAGCCATCACTATCATAGCCATCACCATCATAGCCATCATAGCCACCACCACCACCATCATCATCACCACCATCAACATCATCAGCACCAACATCAATATCATCAGCACCATCATCATCAGCAACATCACCATCACGATCATAGCAATCACCATCATAGCCATCACCATCATAGCCATCACCATCATAGCCATCACCATCATTACCATCATAGCCATCACCACCATCGTCATAATCACCATCAACGTCATCAGCAGCAGCACCACAATCATCAGCAGCAGCATCACAATCATCAGCATCATTATTGTCACCACCATCACAATCACAGCCATCACCATCACCATAGTCACCAACATCACCATCATCACCATCACAGCCATCACCATAGTCACCAACATCACCATCATCACCATCACCATAGTCACCAACATCACCATCATCACCATCACAGCTATCATAGCCATCACCATAGTCACCAACATCACCATCATCACCATCACAGCCATCACCATAGCCACTAACATCACCATCATCACAATCACAGCCATCACCATCACCATAGTCACCAACATCACCATCATCACCATCACAGCCATCACCATCACCATAGTCACCAACATCACCATCATCACCATCACAGTCATCACCATCACCATAGTCACCAACATCACCATCATCACCATCACAGCCATCACCATCACCATAGTCACCAACATCACCATCATCACTATCACAGCCATCACCATCACCATAGTCACCAACATCACCATCATCACCATCACAGCCATCACCATCACCATAGTCACCAACATCACCATCATCACCATTACAGCCATCACCATCACCATAGTCACCAACATCATCATCATCATCACCATCACCATAGTCACCAACATCACCATCATCACCATCACAGCCATCACCATAGTCACCATCATCACCATCATCACCATCACAGCCATCACCATCACCATAGTCACCAACATCACCATCATCACCATCACCATCATCACCATCACCACAGTCACCAACATCACCATCATCACCAACACAGCCATCACCATCACCATAGTCACCAACATTACCATCATCACCATCATCACCATCACAGCCATCACCATCACCATAGTCACCTACATCACCATCATCACCATCACCATAGTCACCAACATCACCATCATCACCATCACCATAGTCACCAACATCACCATCATCACCATCACCATAGTCACCAACATCACCATCATCACCATCACCATAGTCACTAACATCACCATCATCACCATCATCACCATCACAGCCATCACCATCACCATCACCATAGTCACCAACATCACCATCATCACCATCATCACCATCACAGCAATCACCATAGTCACCAACATCACCATCATCACCATCACAACCATCACCATAGTCACCAACATCACCATCATCACCATCACCATAGTCACCATCATCACCATCACAGCCATCACCATCACCATAGTCACCAACATCAGCAACATCACCATCACCATAGTCACCATCACTATAGTCACCAACATCATCATCACCATAGTCACCAACATCACCATCATCACCATCACAGCCATCACCATCACCATAGTCACCAACATCACCGTCATCACCATCACAGCCATCACCATCACCATAGTCACCAAAATCACCATCATCACCATCATCACAGCCATCACCATTACCATAGTCACCAACATCACCATCATCACCATCACAGCCATCACCATCACCATAGTCACCAACAACATCATCATCACCATAGTCACCATCACCATAGTCACCAACATCACCATCATCACCATCATCACAGCCATCACCATCACCATAGTCACCAACATCACCATCACCACCATCACAGCCATCACCATCACCATAGTGACCAACATCACCATCATCACCATCACAGCCATCACCATCACCATAGTCACCAACATCACCATCACCACCATCACAGCCATCACCATCACCATGACAAATGAATGGCAGCACCATCAGCAGCAGTAGAAGCAGCAGGAGTGAGTGAGTGAGTGGGTGACTGGGTGAGTGAGTGGGTGAGTGGGTGACTGGGTGAGTGAGTGAGTGGGTGACTGGGTGAGTGAGTGAGTGAGTGGGTGAGTGAGTGAGTGGGTGACTGGGTGAGTGAGTGAGTGGGTGAGTGGGTGAGTGAGTGAGTGGGTGACTGGGTGAGTGAGTGAGTGAGTGACTAGGTGAGTGAGTTAGTGGGTGACTGGGTGAGTGAGTGGGTGACTGGGTGAGTGAGTGGTTGAGTGAGTGAGTGAGTGGGTGACTGGGTGAGTGAGTGGGTGAGTGAGTGAGTGAGTGGGTGACTGGGTGAGTGAGTGGGTGACTGGGTGAGTGAGTGAGTGAGTGGGTGACTGGGTGAGTGAGTGGGTGATTGGGTGAGTGAGTCGGTGAGTGAGTGAGTGAGTGGTGACTGGGTGAGTGAGTGGGTGAGTGAGTGAGTGAGTGGGTGACTGGGTGAGTGAGTCGGTGACTGGGTGAGTGAGTGGGTGAGTGAGTGAGTGAGTGACTGGGTGAATGGGTGAGTGAGTGAGTGAGTGGGTGAGTGAGTGAGTGACTGGGTGAGTGAGTGAGTGACTGGGTGAGTGAGTGGGTGAGTAACAGGGTGAGTCAGCGAGTGGGTGAGTGAGTGGCTGAGTGAGTGAGTGAGTGGGTGAGTGAGTGAGTGATTGGGTGAGTGAGTGAGTGACTGGGTGAGTGAGTGAGTGAGGTGAGTGAGTGGCTGAGTGAGTGGGTGAGTGAGTGAGTGGGTAGCTGGGTGGGTGAGTGAGTGGGTGGGTGAGTGGGTGGGTGAGTGGGTGGGTGAGTGAGTGAGTGAATGAGTGAGTGGGTGAGTGACTGAGTCAGTGAATGAGTGGGTGGGTGGGTGAGTGAGTGAGTGGGTGAGTGAGTGGGTGAGAGAGTGAGTGGGTGAGTGACTGGGTGAGTGACTGAGTGAGTGAGTGGGTGAGTGACTGAGTGACTGAGTGGGTGAGTGAGTGAGTGACTAACTGGTTGACTGACTGGGTGAGTGACTGGGTGACTGACTGGGTGAGTGACTGGGTGCGTGAGTGGGTGAGTGAGTGACTGGGTGACTGACTGAGTGACTGAGTGGGTGAGTGAGTGAGTGAGTGGGTGAGTTTAATGGGTGAGTGACTGGGAGACTCACTTGGTGAGTGACTGGGTGAGTGACTGGGTGAGTGACTGGGTGACTGACTGGGTCAGTGACTGGGTGACTGACTGGGTGAGTGACTGGGTGACTGAGTGGGTAAGTGAGTGACTGGGTGAGTGACTGGGTGAGTGACTGGGTGAGTGACGGGTTGACTGACTTGGTGAGTGACTGGGTGAGTGACTGGGTGAGTGACTTGGTGAGTGACTTGGTGACTGACTGGGTGACTGACTGGGTGAGTGACGGGTTGAGTGACTTGGTGAGTGACCGGGTGAGTGACTGGCTGAGTTACTGGGTGAGTAAATGACTGGGTGAGTGACTGGGTGAGTGAGTCGGTGAGTGGGTGACTGACTGGGTGACTGAGTGAGTGATTGGGTGAGTGACTAGGTGAGTGACTTGTTGAGTGACTGGGTGAGTTACTGGGTGAGTGAGTGAGTGAGTGGGTGAGTGACTGAGTGACTGAGTGGGTGAGTGAGTGAGTGAGTGACTGACTGACTGGTTGACTGACTGGGTGAGTGACTGGGTGACTGACTGGGTGAATGACTGGGTGCGTGAGTTGGTGAGTGAGTGACTGGGTGACTGACTGGGTCACTGAGTGGGTGAGTGAGTGAGTGAGTTTAATGGGTGAGTGACTGGGTGACTGACTTGGTGAGTGACTGGGTGAGTGACTGGGTGAGTGACTGGGTGACTGACTGGGTGAGTGACTTGGTGGGTGAATGGGTGAGTGACTGGGTGACTGACTGGGTCAGTGACTGGGTGACTGACTGGGTGAGTGACTGGGTGACTGAGTGGGTGAGTGAGTGACTGGGTGAGTGACTGGGTGAGTGACTGGGTGAGTGACGGGTTGACTGACTTGGTGAGTGACTGGGTGAGTGACTTGGTGAGTGACTGGGTGAGTGACTGGGTGAGTGACTTGGTGAGTAACTGGGTCACTGACTGGGTGACTGACTGGGTGAGTGACGGGTTGAGTGACTTGGTGAGTGACCGGGTGAGTGACTGGCTGAGTGACTGAGTGAGTGAGTGACTGGGTGAGTGACTGGGTGAGTGAGTCGGTGAGTGGGTGACTGACTGGGTGACTGAGTGAGTGACTGGGTGAGTGACTAGTTGAGTGACTTGTTGAGTGACTGGGTGAGTGACTGGGTGAGTGACGGGTTGCCTGACTTGGTCAGTGACTGGGTGAGTGACTTGGTGAGTTACTGGGTGAGTGAGTGAGTAAGTGAGTGAGTGAATGAGTGAGTGACTGGGTGAGTGACTGGGTGACTGAGTGGGTGAGTGAGTGACTGGGTGAGTGACTGGGTGAGTGACTTGGTGAGTGACGGGTTGACTGACTTGGTGAGTGACTGGGTGAGTGACTGGGTGAGTGACTTGGTGAGTGACTGGGTGAGTGACTGGGTGAGTGACTGGGTGAGTGAGTGACTGGGTGAGTGACTGGGTGAGTGACTTGGTGAGTGACTGGGTGAGTGACTGTGTGAGTGACTGGGTGAGTGACTTGGTGGGTGAATGGGTGAGTGACTGGGTGAGTGACTGGGTGAGTGACTGGGTGAGTGACTTGGTGGGTGAATGGGTGAGTGACTGGGTGACTGACTGGGTCAGTGACTGGGTGACTGACTGGGTGAGTGACTGGGTGACTGAGTGGGTGAGTGAGTGACTGGGTGAGTGACTGGGTGAGTGACTGGGTGAGTGACGGGTTGACTGACTTGGTGAGTGACTGGGTGAGTGCCTGGGTGAGTGACTTGGTGAGTGACTGGGTGAGTGACTGGGTGAGTGACTTGGTGAGTAACTGGGTCACTGACTGGGTGACTGACTGGGTGAGTGACGGGTTGAGTGACTTGGTGAGTGACCGGGTGAGTGACTGGCTGAGTGACTGAGTGAGTGAGTGACTGGGTGAGTGACTGGGTGAGTGAGTCGGTGAGTGGGTGACTGACTGGGTGACTGAGTGAGTGACTGGGTGAGTGACTAGTTGAGTGACTTGTTGAGTGACTGGGTGAGTGACTGGGTGAGTGACGGGTTGCCTGACTTGGTCACTGACTGGGTGAGTGACTTGGTGAGTTACTGGGTGAGTGAGTGAGTGAGTGACTGGGTGAGTGACTGGGTGACTGAGTGGGTGAGTGAGTGACTGGGTGAGTGACTGGGTGAGTGACTTGGTGAGTGACGGTTTGACTGACTTGGTGAGTGACTGGGTGAGTGACTGGGTGAGTGACTTGGTGAGTGACTGGGTGAGTGACTGGGTGAGTGAGTGACTGGGTGAGTGACTGGGTGAGTGACTTGGTGATTGACTGGGTGAGTGACTGTGTGAGTGACTGGGTGAGTGAGTGACTGGGTGAGTGAGTGACTGGCTGAGTGACTGCGTGAGTGACTGGGTGAGTGAGTAACTGGCTGAGTGACTGGGTGAGTGACTGTGTGAGTGACTGCGTGAGTGACTGGGTGAGTAACTGCGTGAGTGACTGCGTGAGTGTCTCCTCACCGCAGAATGAATTTGGTGTTCTCCGTCTTGCCAGCCCCCGACTCTCCGGACACGATGATGGACTGACTGAGCTTGTGGACTTTCATGTCCCGGTACGCCTTGTCAGCTAGACGTAGGGAGAGTCGAGGAGACGTTCATGTTGAAACACTCCCTTCCCTCGCTCGCTCCCCCATCTCTCACTCCAGCATCCCCAGCTCACTCTCTCCCCAAGGTTGTTTGGATTCTTAGCTCTTTCGGTAAAAGTCACGTTGAAGGGAAACAACAAAATAATAAAATATATATATAACAATAAAAATCCTCACGACGTTTCGACCATAACACAAACGGTCGTCATCAGGTGCGTCGGTTTGCATAAATTTATTTATTTTTAAGCGGTGTATTTATTTATTTATAAAAGAACGTCAGCTCCACGCGCAGCGATTTGGAAGTTTGTTTAGAAGGACGAGTCCATCATGTTCTGAAAAGAGGAGGGGGGAGACGAAAAATTAATGTCTGCTGTCTGAAAGCCACCACCGTAAGCGTGAACAATCAATTAAGACCTGAAATGGTTTATCAAATCTTTCCAATGATTGCTCAGCTGCTTGTGATTACTGGCGGAACGTCGTACTCAGATTGTAAATGTTGTGGCTTGGCTCTGCAACACACCGGTGTGCTGTACTAGTATACTACACTATACACTACACTACTATACACTATACACTACTATACACTACACTACTATACACTACACTACTATACACTACACTACTATACACTATACACTACACTACTATACACTACACTACTATACACTACACTACTATACACTACACTACTATACACTACACTATACACTACACTACTACACTACACTACAACACACTACACTACTATACACTACACTACTATACACTACACTACTACACTACTATACACTACACTACTATACACTACACTACAACACACTACACTACTATACACTACACTACTATACACTACACTATACACTACACTACTACACTACACTACAACACACTACACTACTATACACTACACTACTATACACTACACTACTACACACTACACTACTATACACTACACTATACACTACACTACTACACTACAACACACTACACTACTATACACTACACTACTATACACTACACCACTATACACTACACTACTACACACTACACTACTATACACTACACTACTATGCACTACACTACTATACACTACACTACTACACACTACACTACTATACACTACACTATACACTACACTACACTATACACTACACTACTATACACTACACTACTATACACTACACTACTATGCACAACACTACTACACAATACACTACACTACTAAACACTACACTACTATACACTACACTATACACTACACTACTACACACTACACTACTATACACTACACTACTATACACTACACTATGCACTACACTATTATACACTACACCACTATACACTACACCACTATACATTACACTACTATACACTACACCACTATACACTACACTACTATACACTACACTACTACACTACACTACTATACACTACACTATATACTACACTACTACACACTACACCACATACACTACACTATACACTACACTACTGCACACTTCACTACTATACACTACACTACTATACACTACACTACTACACAATACACTACACTACTAAACACTACACTACTATACACTACACTATACACTACACTCCTACACACTACACTACTATACACTACACTACTATACACTAAACTACTACACATTACACTACTATACACTACACTACACACTACACTACTATACACTACTCTACTATACACTACACTATACACTACACTACTACACACTACACTATACACTACACTATACACACTACACTACACTATACACTACACTCCTATACACTACACTATACACTACACTATACACTACACTACACACTACACTATACACTACACTATACACACTACACTACACACTACACTACTACACACTACACTATACACTACACACTACACTACTATACACTACACACTACACTACTACACACTACACTATACACTACACTATACACTACACTACACACTACACTATACACTACACTATACACTACACTACACACTACACTACACACTACACTATACACACTACACTACACACTACACTACTACACACTACACTATACACTACACTACACTACACACTACACTATACACACTACACACTACACTACACACTACACACTACACTATACACTACACTATACACTACACTATACACTACACTATACACTACTATACACTACGCTACTATACACTACACTACTATACACTACACTACTACACACTACACTACTATACACTACACTATACACTACACTACACACTACACTACACACTACTATACACACTACTATACACTACACTACTACACTCTACACTACACACTACACTACACACTACACTACACACTACACTATACACTATAAACTACACTATACACTACACTATACACTACTATACACTACACTATACACTACTATACACTACACTATACACTACACTATACACTACTATACACTACACTATACACTACACACACTACACTACACTATACACTACACTACACACTACATTACACACTACACTACTATACACTACACTATACACTACACACTACACTACTACACACTACACTCCTATACACTACACTATACACTACACTATACACTACACTACACACTACACTATACACTACACTATACACACTACACTACACACTACACTACTACACACTACACTATACACTACACACTACACTACTATACACTACACACTACACTACTACACACTACACTATACACTACACTATACACTACACTACACACTACACTATACACTACACTATACACTACACTACACACTACACTACACACTACACTATACACACTACACTACACACTACACTACTACACACTACACTATACACTACACTACACACTACACTATACACACTACACACTACACTACACACTACACACTACACTATACACTACACTATACACTACACTATACACTACACTATACACTACTATACACTACGCTACTATACACTACACTACTATACACTACACTACTACACACTACACTACTATACACTACACTATACACTACACTACACACTACACTACACACTACTATACACACTACTATACACTACACTACTACACTCTACACTACACACTACACTACACACTACACTACACACTACACTATACACTATAAACTACACTATACACTACACTATACACTACTATACACTACACTATACACTACTATACACTACACTATACACTACACTATACACTACTATACACTACACTATACACTACACACACTACACTACACTATACACTACACTACACACTACATTACACACTACACTACTATACACTACACTATACACTACACACTACACTACTACACACTACACTACTATACACTACACTACTACACACTACTATACACTATACACTACACTACACTACTATACACTACACTATACACTATACTACACACTACATTATACACTACACTATACACTACACTACTATACACTACACTATACACTACACTATACACTACACTATACACTACACTATACACTACACTACACTATACACTACACTACACACTAGTGCTCTACTAGTGACGAATTGGCCACGTTCCGTTTCCGTGTCAGCCCTCACTAGCTGGCTGTGTCGTGTGGTGGAGGGTTTCAACGACACACTTATATATCTACGCGTTCTCACCACCCAAAAACCTCTAGTATCGACTGGCCATGCTTGTGTCACCACGGCCAGCAAACACCTCGTGGGCTAGAGCAGAAGTCACGGCTTAAAGCTCGTTTACGGAGTCAAAGCATCGCTATTGACGGCCGTCTATGTAACCGCTATGAGGCTTTCACGACCAACATCGTCCATAACAGAGGCTTCATTTTTCTTAGTTTTTTCGGTAAAGTCACCACGTTGAAGAGAAACAACAAAATAACAAAATATATATATAAAACAATACAAAAAATTCTCACGACGTTTCGACCATAACTCAAACGGTCATCTTAAGTTATGGTCGAAACGTCGTGAGAATTTTTTTTATTGTTTTATATATATTTTGTTATTTTGTTGTTTCTCTTCAACGTGGTGACTTTACCGAAAAAAACTAAGCATATGAATTACTGCAGTCGCGAAAGCTTTAAATCAAAATTCAAGAGGCTTCATTTGTCGGGCTGGAACACGTTGAAATGTAAAAAAAAAGCCTCCTTAACATTGCGTCACCGCCAATTCGAATTGTCCCCTCCTAGCTGAGCGTGACAACCCTTCCCGTTCTCGCCTCCGTACGGTGAGCCACTCCGCGCCCTTCCCGATGGAGACTCCGGGGCGCGAAGGCAGTCCCCCAGCCTCGCCTCAGACTGAGGCACGGGCAAGTCGTGGCGACCATGCGCAGGGCTCCACAAGGCCCCGAGTTCTGTTTTCCTCCCCCCCTAGCGCCTCAGTTGTGCGTGCGGTGACGTTGGGGGGGGGGGGGGGGGGGGGGACTGGGCAGTGAGTGGCGGAATCGAATCCCGAGCGGATCGCTCGGCCTCCGAGCGTTTTGGATCTCAGAGGCGCTCAGCGCAAGGAAGACTTTGGGCTTCACTGCAGATTTTGCCTCCTCCCCGAAAGGATTCCGTGCGGCAGGGAGAGGAACCGGGTAGGAGACGACTCAGCCCGGCGGGGGCCCCGGCCCATCCGGGCGGGGAGGGGGCAGGGCACGAGGCACCCAAACACCCACCCACCCACCCAACCACCCACCCACCCACCCACCCCCCCACCCACCCACCCAACCACCCACCCACCCACCCAACCACCCACCCACCCACCCACCCCCCCACCCACCCACCCAACCACCCACCCACCCACCCAACCCCCCACCCACCCACCCAACCCCCCACCCACCCACCCAACCCCCCCACCCACCCAACCCCCCACCCACCCACCCAACCACCCACCCACCCACCCACCCAACCACCCACCCACCCACCCAACCACCCACCCACCCACCAACCCCCCACCCACCCACCCAACCACCCACCCACCCACCCAACCCCCCACCCACCCACCCAACCACCCACCCACCCACCCACCCCCCCACCCACCCACCCAACCCCCCACCCACCCACCCACCCACCCACCCACCCACACACCCACCCACCCACCCACCCAACCCCCCACCCACCCACCCAACCACCCACCCACCCACCCAACCACCCACCCACCCACCCAACCACCCACCCACCCAACCCACCCACCCCAAGATGGGGGGCATCGGAGATCTGCAGTGGAGAGTGGCACATGGCTCCATTAGGTCCGTGGCGCTGTTTTATCAACACGACGAGGAGGAGGAGGAGGAGGGGGAGGGGGGGGAGGGGGAGGAGGAGAAGGAGGAGGAGGAGGAGGAGGAGGGGGAGGAGGAGGAGGGGGAGGAGGGGGAGGGGGGGGAGGAGGAGAAGGAGGAGGAGGGGGAGGAGGAGGAGGGGGAGGAGGAGGAGGAGGAGGAGGGGGAGGGGGAGAAGGAGGAGGATGAGGAGGAGGTGGAGGAGAAGGAGGAGGAGTAAGAGGAGGAGGAGGATGAGGAGGAGGTGGAGGAGAAGGAGGAGGAAGAGGAGGAGGATGAGGAGGAGGAGTAAGAGGAGAAGGAGGATGAGGAGGAGGAGGGGGTGGAGTGTGATCTCTGCCAGTACTGAGACGACAGGGAGACCGTGCCTCTCGTGTTTTCCCGCTGTCTGAGGCTCGCCCCAACTCTTCGATTGATTTTTTAACGTTCAGTCCTCAGCGGGATGTCCCTGGATTGTCTCAATGTCTCGGCGAGAGGCAAAGGGGCGCTTGGCGATGTTAAAGAGTCGCAAGAACAAGTGGGCGGGAGTCCTCGGACGCCACTTTCCCATCTCTCTTCTGGTTTACGATGGGCGGCAGTAACAAGACGAAGGTGCTTGGTGTAGTCGGAACTTTGATTCGTTCATCGTTTCGTTGTTTTTGGTTTTTTTCAAAGCTTTGCTTTATGCCCCCCCCCTTCCCCCGTTTTTAAAATGAAATATTTCACAAAAGCGTCTCTCATCTCATCTCTCTCTCCCGAGCCTCTCCGATGTCTCTCTCGCTTTCAGCACTCCTCTTTGCCCCTCTCGCCTTCATTGCTCGCTCCCCTTCTCTCCATCTCTCTCCTTTCTCTACCCTCCCTCTTCCGTCTCTCTCCTTTCTCTCTCAATCTCTCTACATCTCTCTCCATCTCTCCATCTCTCTCCATCTCTCCATCTCTCCATCTCTCTCATCTCTCCATCTCTCTCCTTTCTCTCTCATCTCTCTCTATCTCTCTCCATCTCTCTCCATCTCTCTCCATCTCTCCATCTCTCTCCATCTCTCCATCTCTCTCCATCTCTCTCCTTTCTCTCTCATCTCTCTTCATCTCTTTCCATCTCTCTCCATCTCTCTCCATCTCTCTCCATCTCTCCATCTCTATCCTTTCTCACTCATCTCTCTCCATCTCTTTCCATCTCTCTCCATCTCTCTGCATCTCTCTCCATCTCTCTCCATCTCTCTCCATCTCTCCATCTCTCTCCATCTCTCCATCTCTCTCCATCTCTCCATCTCTCTCCATCTCTCTCCATCTCTCTCCATCTCTTTCTCTCTCCATCTCTCTCCATCTCTCTCCATCTCTCCATCTCTCCATCTCTCTCATCTCTCTCCATCTCTCTCCATCTCTCTCCATCTCTCCATCTCTCCATTTGTCTTTGTCTATCCATCTGTCTCCATCTCTCTCCTTTCTCTCTCCTTTCTCTCTCCATCTCTCTCCATCTCTCTCCATCTCTCTCCATCTCTCTCCATCTCTCCATCTCTCCATCTCTCTCTATATCTCTCCTTTCTCTCTCCATCTCTCCATCTCTCTCATCTCTCCATCTCTCTCCATCTCTCCATCTCTCCCCATCTCTCTCCATCTCTCTCCATCTCTCTCTCTCCATCTCTCCATCCCTCTCCATCTCTCCATCTCTCTCCATCTCTCCATCTCTCTCCATCTCTCTCCATCTCTTACTCTCTCCATCTCTCTCCATCTCTCTCCATCTCTCCATCTCTCCATCTCTCTCATCTCTCTCCATCTCTCTCCATCTCTCTCCATCTCTCCATCTCTCCATTTGTCTTTGTCTATCCATCTGTCTCCATCTCTCTCCTTTCTCTCTCCTTTCTCTCTCCATCTCTCTCCATCTCTCTCCATCTCTCTCCATCTCTCTCCATCTCTCCATCTCTCCATCTCTCTCTATATCTCTCCTTTCTCTCTCCATCTCTCCATCTCTCTCATCTCTCCATCTCTCTCCATCTCTCCATCTCTCCCCATCTCTCTCCATCTCTCTCCATCTCTCTCTCTCCATCTCTCCATCCCTCTCCATCTCTCCATCTCTCTCCATCTCTCCATCTATCTTCGTCTCTCCGTGTGTCACTCCGTCTCACCGATGGCGTAGACATGTGGAGGCAGAGTGCCCAGCGAACGGCCCCGGTAGCTGGCGATGGTGGCGGATGTGTAGAGCTGAGGGATGTCACGGTACGGGTTCACGGCGATCAGGATGTTGGCCACGTACGTCTGAAGCATTCAAAACGTGGACACAGTTACCATCAACATAGTTACAGTCGTTACCATCGCATCGTTAACATCGTCACCGTCACATCGTTAACAGGAACATCTTCTTAGCTTTCGATTTAAAGCTTTCGTGACTGCAAGGATTCATCTTCTTTGGTTCTTTCGGTAAAGTCACCACGTAGAATGAGAATAAAATAATAAATTGATAAAATAAAATAACACAATAATATTCTCACGACGTTTCGGCCGAAACGTGGTGACTTTACCGAAAGAACCAAAGAACAAAAAAGCTGCATTTCGATTTAAAGCTTTCGTGACTGCAAGGATTCATCTTCTTTGGTTCTTTCGGTAAAGTCACCACGTAGAATGAGAATATTATTGTGTTATTTTATTTTATCAATTTATTATTTTATTCTCATTCTACGTGGTGACTTTACCGAAAGAACCAAAGAACAAAAAAGCTGCATTTCGATTTAAAGCTTTCGTTACTGCAAGGATTCATCTTCTTTGGTTCTTTCGGTAAAGTCACCACGTAGAATGAGAATATTATTGTGTTATTTTATTTTATCAATTTATTATTTTATTCTCATTCTACGTGGTGACTTTACCGAAAGAACCAAAGAACAAAAAAGCTGCATTTCGATTTAAAGCTTTCGTGACTAGCAAGGATTCATCTTCTTTTGGTTCTTTCGGTAAAGTCACCACCACGTAGAATGAGAATATTATTGTGTTATTTTATTTTATCAATTTATTATTTTATTCTCATTCTACGTGGTGGTGACTTTACCGAAAGAACCATAGAACAAAAAAGCTGCATTTCGATTTAAAGCTTTCGTGACTGCAAGGATTCATCTTCTTTTGGTTCTTTCGGTAAAGTCACCACGTAGAATGAGAATATTATTGTGTTATTTTATTTTATCAATTTATTATTTTATTCTCATTCTACGTGGTGACTTTACCGAAAGAACCAAAGAACAAAAAAGCTGCATTTCGATTTAAAGCTTTCGTTACTGCAAGGATTCATCTTCTTTGGTTCTTTCAGTAAAGTCACCACGTAGAATGAGAATATTATTGTGTTATTTTATTTTATCAATTTATTATTTTATTCTCATTCTACGTGGTGACTTTACCGAAAGAACCAAAGAACAAAAAAGCTGCATTTCGATTTAAAGCTTTCGTGACTAGCAAGGATTCATCTTCTTTTGGTTCTTTCGGTAAAGTCACCACCACGTAGAATGAGAATATTATTGTGTTATTTTATTTTATCAATTTATTATTTTATTCTCATTCTACGTGGTGACTTTACCGAAAGAACCAAAGAAGATCTTCTTAGCTCTTTCGGTAAAGTCACGTTAAAGGGAAACAATGAAATAATAAAATATATAAAACATTTTTTATTGTTTTATATATTGTTTTCAATATATTTTATTATTTTATTGTTTCTCTTCAACGTGACTTTACCGAAGGAGCTAAGAATATGAATTACTGCAGTCACGAAAGCTTTAAATAAAAATTTAACATGAACATCGTTATAATCAACATCGTTACAATCGTTACCATAATATCATTAACTTGAACATAGTTAACATCGTTACCATCACATCGTTTACATCGTTACCATCGTATCGTTAACGTGAACATAGTTCATATGAATATTCTCACCATTAACATAGTTAACATGAATATAGTTAACATCAACATAGTTAACATGAAAATAATTAGCATAATTGAATATTAATTTTTAGGTCATACGGTAGTGGATGAGTGAATGAGCTAATGAATGAGTCAATTCATACGTGAATGGGTTAATGAATAAGCTAATTAGTGAGTGAGCGAGTCAATGAATACGTGCAGGAGTTAATGAATGAAAATGTGAATTAGTGAGTGAATGAGTGGACGAGATAGTGAATTTAATAAGTGAATGAGTTAAATAATTAGTTAATCAATGCATAAGTGAATTAATACATAAATAAATGAACGACATAGTAAATGAGTGGACTAGTTCATGAATATCATGGGACCTCCAGTACCAAAACATGAGAAGAGGTTTTCCCCTTTTTCTGGCAACAAAACAGCTGTGTCAGGATGTTTAAAAAACACCAAACTGGAACCTTCTACAAGGAATTCCTGTCTGCATTTGGGCGTCCTCTGCTCTAACGCCGTTCGAGGTTCGAAGGGAAGCCGTCTCTGGTGTGGACCAATCAGTTTCAAGGGCACCGCATCGACTCTCAGAGCACCAATCCTGATCTGAAGTTTTCGGCACTGCAGGAATCCGTGCTCTTTGGTTCTTGCGGTAAAGTCACCACGGAGGTAGCAATGATAACCGATCACGACGTTCCGATCGCCACACAAGCAATCGCCCGCATCCCACCTGAGGACGATTGCTGGTGTGGCAATCAAAAGTGTCGTGAACGATCGTTATTATTTTTATTTATCGGAGTATGTTTATTGTTTGCATTCTGACCATAAGCATTGTGGTTAACGCAGACGTGATACCTCGTAAAAGGATTCAGTTTGGTGTTTTAACATCTTGTAGAGGTGAGAGCTACTGGCTATTCGGTAACCTGCAGTGCCACTATGCAGCAAAGGGGCGATGCAGCGTTACCTCTCTGTGTGAATAACGGCCGGGGTCAGGGAGGGGTCAGAGAGGATCATAATCACAGATTGGTGAAGAACCAATCAGAGAGTGCCACGAGGGGGCGTGGCATTGGATGGACCCAGCCACAAACCGGCGTGAAAGGGCGAACGCTGAGAGCGCGAGATCAGTTGTCTCCACACGAAGACCCAAGCCGGGGCTGAAGACAGCTCGGACCCTGGGTCACAACCTTCCAGCCCTTCCGAGGGCTGAGGCTCAGCGTGACCAGTGGTCAGGGGAGAATAGGTCCTGGATAGGCAGGACCCTGGGTCCCAACCTTCCAGCCCTTCTAAGGGCTGAGGCTCAGTGTGACCAGTGGTCAGGGGAGAATAGGTCCTGGATAGGCAGGACCCTGGGTCCCAGCCTTCCAGCCCTTCTAAGGGCTGAGGCTCAGCGTGACCAGTGGTCAGGGGAGAATAGGTCCTAGATAGGCAGGACCCTGGGTCACAACCTTCCAGTGCTTCTGAGGGCTGAGGCTCAGCGTGACCAGTGGTTGGGGACCCACCGAGGCAGCGGCGGGTCAGCCAGCCTCCCCTAGGTCCCAGCCGGAAGACGCTAGGTTAGCGAAGGGACTTAAGTGTAGGTCCCGTCAAGTCTGGAGGCTGTACCTCCTTAGGCTAGCAGATAGACCTCTGTGTGTAGGTCCCGTCAAGTCTGGAGGCTGTACCTCGTTAGGCTAGCAGATAGACCTCTGTGTGTAGGTCCCGTCAAGTCTGGAGGCTGTACCTCCTTAGGTTAGCAGAGAGACCTCTGTGTGTAGGTCCCGTCAAGTCTGGAGGCTGTACCTCGTTAGGCTAGCAGATAGACCTCTGTGTGTAGGTCCCGTCAAGTCTGGAGGCTGTACCTCCTTAGGTTAGCAGAGAGACCTCTGTGTGTAGGTCCCGTCAAGTCTGGAGGCTGTACCTCGTTAGGCTAACAGATAGACCTCTGTGTGTAGGACCCGTCAAGTCTGGAGGCTCCACCTCTTAGGTTAGCAGATAGACCTCTGTGTGTAGGACCCGTCAAGTCTGGAGGCTCCACCTCCTTAGGCTAGCAGATAGACCTCTGTGTGTAGGACCCGTCAAGTCTGGAGGCTCCACCTCCTTAGGCTAGCAGATAGACCTCTGTGTGTAGGTCCCATCAAGTCTGGAGGCTGTACCTCCTTAGGTTAGCAGATAGACCTCTGTGTGTAGGTCCCATCAAGTCTAGAGGCTGTACCTCCTTAGGCTAGCAGATAGACCTCTGTGTGTAGGTCCCATCAAGTCTGGAGGCTGTACCTCCTTAGGCTAGCAGATAGACCTCTGTGTGTAGGACCCGTCAAGTCTGGAGGCTGTACCTGCTTAGGCTAGCAGATAGACCTCTGTGTATAGGACCCGTCAAGTCTGGAGGCTCTACCTCCTTAGGTTAATGGGTAAGGGGACCGTGTACCCCTTTGTGTGTTAGGGACCGTGTGGGAGAAAATAGAATAAACAGTGTGTGCCTCAAAGGAGTTCATTCGTCCGAGATTCAAGACACTAAAATCTTAACACAGCTGTTTTGTTTCCAGAAAAAAGGGGAAAACCTGTTCTCGAGTTAATGAAGGAATCAAGGAATTGGTGAGTGAACAAGTAAGCCAACGAGTGGAGTGAATGAGTGGACGGGTGAGTGACCGAGTGAATGAGTGGACGGGTGAGTGACCGAGTGAATGAGTGGACGGGTGAGTGACCGAGTGAAAGAGTGGACGGGTGAGTGACCGAGTGAATGAGTGGACGGGTGAGTGACCGAGTGAATGAGTGGGCGGGTGAGTGACCGAGTGAATGAGTGGACGGGTGAGTGACCGAGTGAATGAGTGGACGGGTGAGTGACCGAGTGAATGAGTGGACGGGTGAGTGACCGAGTGAATGAGTGGACGGGTGAGTGACCGAGTGAATGAGTGAACGGGTGAGTGACCGAGTGAATGAGTGGACGGGTGAGTGACCGAGTGAATGAGTGAACGGGTGAGTGACCGAGTGAATGAGTGGACGGTGAGTGACCGAGTGAATGAGTGGACGGGTGAGTGACCGAGTGAATGAGTGGACGGGTGAGTGACCGAGTGAATGAGTGGACGGGTGAGTGACCGAGTGAATGAGTGGACGGGTGAGTGACCGAGTGAATGAGTGGACGGGTGAGTGTCCGAGTGAATGAGTGGACGGGTGAGTGACCGAGTGAATGAGTGGATGGGTGAGTGACCGACTGAGTGAGTGACCGAGTGAACGAGTGAGTGAGTGAACGAGTGAATGAGTGGACGAGTGACTCACGTAGATCTTGTCGCGGGAGAACCTCAAGCGAACGTTGTGCAGAAGCGTGCCCTCGTTCAGGAACATCAACGAGCCTGCACTCGGCACACACACACACAGGTGCCAGGCTAGGTGCACCAGAAGGAGGTCACGGGACAGACCCAGCAGGTGTCATGGACACCAGCTGTGCCCCCTACTGTGCCAACCATCACCACACACACACAGACACACACACAGACACATGTACACCCCACCACTCACACACACACAGACACACACACACACAGACACAACAACAACCGACATTCGCCACTAAGTGGCGGTGACGTCACCACGACGCTTGTGCCAGGCTATGTGCACCGTGAGGCCACGTGAAGTGTCGAACACCCGCTGGCAGGAGGTCACGGGGCAGACCCAGGTGCCACGGGTCGACTGACTGAGATGACTGGCTGATGCACCACCTGTGCCCCCTACTGTGGCAACCTGCTGTGCTTTAGCCACCCGGCGCTCCGCTTATTGTTGTGAGCGTCGCTCCTCCGCCCTCCGTTGTTGTTGGAGGGCGACTGCCTCCAACTGCCTAGCAGCATCCTTCAAGAGCCTCCTCCACAGAGGCCGATCTTGACACCGCTGGTACTAGTCATGGGCAAGTGCACTCAGCTCCACGTCCTCCTGTACCACATCACTCCATCTCTTCTGTAGCCCGTGCCGCACCCGCTTAGCCCCCTCAATCCGGCCAAACAAAAGCTGTTTCGGCATGCGGTGGCTGGGCATGCGGGCTACATGACCCAGCCAACGCAGCCTTCCCCGCTGGAGGAGCTCACCGATGGGACTTTGCCCAGATCTTTCAAGGATTTGTGAGCTCCTCACACAATCCAGTCTGGTTAAACCCAGAATGGATCGTAGGCAGGCCAGCCTAAATGTTTCTAACCGGCGAAGATGTTCCATTAGAGGGGTCCACGTTTCGCAAGCGTAAAGACGGGAGGGAATGACCGTGGCTGAGAAGACCTGAAGCTTAGTGCGGAGCGACAGACCAGGTAGCTTCCACACAGTGTTACGCAACCGATGAAAAGATATTGCCGCTCGACTGATTCGGAGTGAGACCTCTGCTGTTAAATTGGAGCCACTCATAAGCACACTGCCCAGGTATGGGAAACTCTCCACTCTCTCCACAACTGCCCCATTACCGATTGGGAGTTGTGGGGGTGGAGTGTCCGATGGTACAAAATACCCAACCTGTCCAGTGGTCCAGACTGTTGTTATGATGTAATATAGGGCAGTCTGTGCACAAACGGCGCCCTCCCTCAGCATTTCGCTTGGGAGATCATCTCTGCCCGCTGCCTTTCCTGGTCTCAGACTCCGGATCGCCTTCAGTACTTCCTCAACAGATGGCACCTCAGCCAGCCACTCACTGGGGGTGACTTCTTCCAATATTTGAGGCACCGCAGCCTCAGCAGGGTCATCCTCACTTTGTGCCACGATGTTTTCCTGGCTGAGGGATTTTCCCTCCCCCAGGACCTCACAGAAATGCTCAACAAATCAGCAAACCTGTTCCTGGGGGTCGGAGATTGGGTCACCGTTTTTTCCCCTAATGATGGTAATAGGTGTGGCGCTGCAGGTTACTTTTTTGATTTAGTTAAATAGAGATTTGTGATCACGGGCCACTGAGGCAGACTCCATCGCCTCAGCAACCCGCGACCACCACCCAACCTTGCAGCGCCTCAAGGCTCTCCGAACCTCCGAGCGAAGGCTGCGGTAAGCCTCCTCATTCTCTGACGTTGGATTCTGTAGCCGATGACAGTGGGCCTGTCGCTTTTTCTCAACCATCCTGAACACCTCCTCTGTCAGCCAGGGTCTCTGGGGAGGTCTGGACCGCGTACCCAAAGCAGCCATTGCAGCTGCATGAGTCACAGTCCTAAACCTCGCCCATTTACCCTCGACATCAGGAGGAGTCGGGACGGTGCCAATCCTAGCCGCAAGCGATGATGAAATTCTCGCTTGCAACTTTCATCAGATAACTGAGACCAGGCCACTTTAGGTTGGAATGGGGTCCTGGGTGTACACCCACCACCGTAGTGGAAGAATGGCAGGCGCATCTTACAGATGACTAGTCGATGGTCAGAGGGCAGATCAGCTCCACGGTAGGTCCTGGTGTGAAGGACATGGGCTCGCATCCGCTGGTCCGTCACTATGTAGTCCAACAGATGTTCTTGCTTGGACCCGGCATGCATCCATGATGTTGTGTGGATGCGCCGATGCCGGAACGTGTTGGTTATTACAAGCCCATGGGCTGCACAAAAATCTAGCAGCCTCCTACCGTTGTTATTGAGCTGATCTGGCCCATGCCCTCCAATCACTCCAGACCAGGTGCCAGTATCATGACCAACTCGGGCATTGAAGTCACCCAACATGATGACTATATCCCGAGGGGCCACATTAGCCAGCACCTGTGACAGGAGGTCATAGAAGGCATCTTACTCATCGGCTTTGCCTGCATCCCTCCACGGATGTTCATCTTCAGTGGGGGCATAAGTAACCACGACCACCATTCCTCGCCTCCGGTTGATGGGAAGGCGAGCCCAAAGTAGCCTGGGGCTTACAGATTCCCACACCTCACCGCCACGCTCCCACGCCCCCTTAATTCTTTTGTTCAAAAGAAGAGCCACACCCTGTTGTTTGGCAGTCTGCTGCCCCGAGTAGAGGACTGTCCACCCCTCATGGTGGCAGGAGCCAGAGCCGGTCCACCGGACCTCCTGAATGCCGCATAGATCCAGGCGGTACCGGTCCAGCTCCCGACAGAGGAGTGGCAGCCTCTCCTCTGCAGTGAGCGTTCGAACATTCCACGTGGCCACCCGTAGTGGTTTTTCGTTGTTTCTGGAGGAGCCCCGAGGGTAGAGATTCAATCTCCTGGCTCCGCCAATTGGGGTTTGGCCAGGAGACGTCATAGACGCCTGGCCCCCCAGGGCCTCCGGCACAAGATTATTAGTATATAAACTTAATTCGCGGTTTAGTGGTAATTAATTGAAGGTGTAGGGGTTACCAGCCCCTCGCACCCGTCCAGAGCCCCCGTTTAGCCCCTGTGGTGGACACAGATGCCATGAGGGGAGGAGCCAATCACAATTGGACCTCCCCCCCACAGCACTGTCCACGACAGAGTTGCCCGTCCGGCACCGCGAGGAGGTAGGGGGTTGTTTTTTTTGCCACCACACACACAGACACACTCCACCACACTCTCACCCCACCACACACACAGACACACAGACACACACAGGCACACCCCACGCTTTGCCCCACCACCACCACCACTCACAGTTGTCCTCTGCATCCCTGTTGTTGTCCTGCTCTGCGGGGTAAACCTGTGGGTAGGGAGCCACCACCACCGCGGCTGAGTCTCCGCAGCTGCCCGCGATCTCCACCGTCAGAGTCTCGGCCCCCACGTCCACGATGCGGCCCAGGCGGAAGCCCTCCACGGGGTCGGGGGCCCACACAAGCCTCCCTCCATTCATCTCTACACACACAGATATACATATATATACATACATATACATACACATATATATACACATATATACACATACATATATATACACATATACATATATATACATACATATACATATACACACATACATATATATATACATATATATACACATATATACAGATAAATACACCCAGATATACACACACACATATATATACATATATACACACACACATATATACACACATATACATATATACATACATATATACATACACACAGATATACACACACATATATATACATATATACACACACACATATATATACACACACAAGCCTCCCTCCATTCATCTCTACACATAGATACATACACATATATACATACACATATATACATACACACACAGATATATATACAAACACACATATATACATACAACAACAACCGCCATTCGCCACTAAGTGGCGGTGACGTCACCACGACGCTTGTGCCAGGCTATGTGCACCCTGAGGCCACGTGAAGTGTCGAACGCCCGCTGGCAGGAGGTCACGGGGCAGACCCAGGTGCCACGGGTCGACTGACTGAGATGACTGGCTGATGCACCACCTGTGCCCCCTACTGTGCCAACCTGCTGTGCTTTAGCCACCCGGCGCTCCGCTCGTTGTTGTGAGCGTCGCTCCTCCGCCCTCCATTGTTGTTGGAGGGCGACTGCCTCCAACTTCCAGTAGCATCCTTCACGAGCCTCCTCCACAGAGGTCGATCTTGACACCGCTGGTACCAGTCATCGGCAAGTCGACTCAGCTCCACGTCCTCCTGTACCACATCACTCCATCTCTTCTCTAGCCCGTGCCGCGCCCGCTTAGCCCCCTCAATCCGGCCAAACAAAAGCTGTTTCGGCATGCGGTGGCTGGGCATGCGGGCTACATGACCCAGCCATCGCAGCCTTGCCCGCCGGAGGAGCTCACAGATGGGACCGTGCCCAGATCTTTCAAGGATTTGTGAGCTCCTCACACAATCCAGCCTGGTTAAACCCAGGATGGATCGTAGGCAGGTCAGCCTAAATGTTTCTAACCGGCGAAGATGTTCCATTAAGAGACACACACACACAGAGATACACACACACAGATGTACACACACACACACAGATGTACATACATACATACACACAGAGAGAGAGATACACACAGAGATACATACACACACAGAGAGAGACACACACACAGAGATACACACACAGAGAGAGATACACACACAGAGATACAGACACAGAGAGAGATACACACACAGAGATACACACACAGAGAAAAATACACACACAGAGATACATACACACAGAGAGAGATACACACACAGAGAGATAAATACACACACAGAGATACACACAGAGATACATACACACACAGAGATGTACACACACACACAGAGATGTACACACACACAGAGATACACACACGTCTCTCTCTATTCATGATCTCTACCCACACACAGAGATGTACACACACACAGAGATGTACACACACACAGAGATGTACACACACAGAGCTGTACACACACACACAGATGTACACACACACAGAGGTACACACACACAGAGATACATACACACAGAGATGTGCACACACATACACAGAGATGTACACACACACACAGAGATGTGCACACACACACAGATGTACACACACAGAGATACACACACACAGAGATGTACACACACACACAGACATGTACACACACACACACACAGATGTACACACACACAGAGATGTACACACACACACAGAGATACACACACAGAGATGTACACACACACAGAGATACACACACAGAGATGTACACACATACAGAGAGATACACACACAGATGTACACACACACACACACGTCTCTCTCCATTCATTACCACTACACACACACACAGATGTATATACACAGATATGCACAGGACTCCTTGTCTCCAAGGAGATAAACACACAGGAAGAGAGGGGGTGAGAAAGGTGCGAGAGAGAGTGTGTGAGAGAGGGGGAGATACACAGAGAGAGAGTGTGAGAGAGGGGGAGATACACAGAGAGAGAGAGGGGGAGATACACAGAGAGAGAGAGAGAGGGGGAGAGAGGGGGAGATACACAGAGAGAGAGAGGGGGAGATACACAGGGAGAGAGAGAGAGAGAGGGGGAGATATAGGGGGAGAGAAGATGATACAGAGAGAGAGGGGAAGAGATAGGGGGGAGAGAGGTGGAGATACACAGAGAGATTGGTAGGGGAGAGGGGGGGTGTAATGTTTGACAGAGATCCAGTTGTGCCCTTTGACCCTTCATTGCCTCACCTGCCTTGCCACTCACCTGCCCACTTACCCTCTCACTCATTAACTCACTCCCATACTCACCCACCTACTCACCTACCTACTCACCCACTCACCTACCCTCTCACTCATTAACTCACTCCCTTACTCACCCACCTACTCACCTACCTACTCACCCACTCACCTACCCTCTCACTCATTAACTCACTCCCTTACTCACCCACCTACTCACCAGCCTACTCACCCACTCACCTACCCTCTCACTCATTAACTCACTCCCTTATTCACCCACCTACTCACCAGCCTACTCACCCACTCACCTACCCTCTCACTCATTAACTCACTCCCTTGCCTACCTACTCACCAGCCTACTCACCCACTCACCTACCAGCTCACTCATTAACACACTCCCTTAATTACCCACCTACTCACCAACCTACTCACCCACTCACCTACCAGCTCACTCATTAACACACTCCCTTATTCACCCACCTACTCACCAACCTACTCACCCACTCACCTACCCTCTCACTCATTAACTCACTCCCTTACTCACCTACCTACTCACCAGCCTACTCACCCACTCACCTACCAGCTCACTCATTAACACACTCCCTTACTTACCCACCTACTCACCAACCTACTCACCCACTCACCTACCAGCTCACTCATTAACACACTCCCTTACGCACCCACCTACTCACCAGCCTACTCACCCACTCACCTACCCTCTCACTCAGTAACTCACTCCCTTACTCACCTACCTACTCACCAGCCTATTCACCCACTCACCTACCAGCTCACTCATTGATTCACTCCCTTATTCACCCACCTGCTCACCAGCCTACTCACCCACTCACCTACCCTCTCACTCATTAACTCACTCCCTTACTCACCCACCTACTCACCCACTCACCTATCTGTCTGTGTGTGTGTCTGTCAGTGTGTTTCTGTGCATCTGTGTGTGTGTCTCTGTGTGTCTCTGTGTATCTGTGTGTGTCTCTCTGTGGGTGTCTCTCTATGGGTGTCTGCGTGTGTGTGTCTCTGTGTGTGTTTGTGTGTGTGTCGTTGAGTGTGTATCTGTCTCTGTGTATCTGTGTGTGTGTCTCTCTGTGGGTTCTCTCTGTGGGTGTCTGAGTGTGTGTGTCTCTGTGGGTGTCTGTGTGTCTGTGTGTGTTTCTGTGTGTCTGTGTATCTGTGTGTGTGTCTCTGTGGGTGTCTCTGTGTGTTTTTTGTGTGTATCTCTGTGTGTCTGTGTATCTGTGTGTATGTCTCTGTGGGTGTCTCTGTGTGTGTCTCTCTGTGGGTGTTGCGTGTGTGTGTGTGTGTCTGTGTGTGTCTCTGTGTGTCTGTCTATATGTGTGTGTCTCTGTGTGTCTGTGTCTCTCTGTGTGTGTCTCTGTGTGTGTCTCTGTGTGTGTGTCTCCGTGTATCTGTCTATGTGTGTGTCTATGTGTGTTTGCATTTGTGTGTGTGTGTCTCTGTGTCTCTGTGGGTGTCTCTGGGTGTCTTTGAGTGTGTATCTGTCTCTGTGTATCTGTCTATGTGTGTGTCTCTGTGTGTCTGTGTGTGTGTCTGTGTAAGTATGTTTCTCTGTCTCTCTGTGTGTCTGTGTGTGTCTCTGTGTGTCTTTGAGTGTGTATCTGTCTATGTGTGTGTCTATGTGTATTTGTGTGTGTGCGTGTCTCTGTGGGTGTCTCTGGGTGTCTTTGAGTGTGTATCTGTCTATGTGTGTGTCTATGTGTGTTTGTGTTTGTGTGTGTCTCTGTGGGTTTCTCTGTGGGTGTCTCTGTGTGTGGGTGTCTGCGTGTGTGTGTGTGTGTCTGTGTGTGTCTGTGTGTGTGTGTGTGTGTCTCTGTGTGTGTCTCTGTGTGTGTGTCTGTGTGTGTGTCTCTGTGTGTGTCTCTATGTGTGGGTGTCTGCGTGTGTCTGTGTGTGTCTGTGTGTGTGTCTCTGTGTGTGTCTCTGTGTGTGTGTCTCTGTGTGTGTCACTGTGTGTGTCTGTGTGCGTGTCTCTGTGTGTGTCTCTGTGTGTCTCTGTGTGTCTCTGTGTGTGTATCTGTGTGTCTCTGTGTGTGTCTCTGTGTGTGTATCTGTGTGTCTCTGTGTGTGTCTCTGTGTGTCTCTGTGTCTGTCTCTGTGTGTGTCTCTGTGTGTCTCTGTGTGTGTCTCTGTGTGTGTCTCTGTGTCTGTCTCTGTGTGTGTCTCTGTGTGTGTCTCTGTGTGTGTCTCTGTGTCTGTCTCTGTGTCTGTCTCTGTGTGTGTCTCTGTGTGTGTCTCTGTGTGTGTCTCTGTGTCTGTCTCTGTGTGTGTCTCTGTGTGTGTCTCTGTGTGTGTCTCTGTGTCTGTCTCTGTGTGTGTCTCTGTGTGTGTCTCTGTGTGTCTCTGTGTGTGTGTATCTCTGTGTGTGTGTCTCTGTGTGTGTCTCTGTGTCTGTCTCTGTGTCTGTCTCTGTGTGTGTCTCTGTGTGTGTCTCTGTGTGTGTCTCTGTGTGTGTCTGTGTGTGTGTCTCTGTGTCTGTCTCTGTGTCTGTCTCTGTGTGTGTCTCTGTGTGTGTCTCTGTGTGTCTCTGTGTGTGTGTGTCTCTGTGTGTGTGTCTCTGTGTGTCTCTGTGTGTGTGTGTCTCTGTGTGTGTGTCTCTGTGTATCTCTGTGTGTCTCCGTGTCTCACCAACCGTGTTGTCCTCGCTCTCAGAAGCTGCAGCACAATTCTTGTCTCCGCAGTGTCTCTGTGTCTCTGCGTGAGACAGATCTGTCCTCGTGTCTCTGTCTCTCTCTGTCTATCGGTGTGTCTCTCTGTGTGTCTGTAATTATGTGTGTCTCTCTGTTAGACACACCTGTCCCCGTGTGTCTCTCTCTGTTTCTCTGTCTCTCTCTCTCTCTGTATGTGTCTCTCTGTCTTGATATCCGTCTCTGTGTCTCTCCGTGTGTCTCACTCTCTGTGTGTTTCTTTGTGAGAGACACCAGTCACCGTGTCTCTGTGTGTGTCTCTCTGTGTGTCTCTGTCTGTCTCTCTGTGTCTCTGTGTGTGTCTCTCAGTGTGTCCCTCTCCGTGTCTCTCTGTGTGTCTCTCTCCGTGTCTCTCTGTGATGTCTCTGTCTGTCTCTGTGTGTGTCTCTGTGCGTCTCTCTTTTTCTCTGTGTGTGTCTCTCTCCGTGTCTCTCTGTGTGTCTCTGTCTGTCTCTGTGCGTGTCTCTGTGTGTCTCTGTGTGTCTCTTTTTCTCTCTCCGTGTCTCTCTCCGTGTCTCTCTGCGTGTCTCCTCCCCGTCTTCCTCACGTGAGAGTCGTGGGTACAAAGATCACCAACTCACTCCAGTGAAGACAGAGAGGGAGGGAGGGAGGAGAGAGAGAGAAAGGGGGAAGGGAGGCGGAGGAGAGGAGAGAGAGGGGAGAAAGGAGAGAGAAGAGAGAGAGAGGAGAGAGAGAGGAGGGGAGAAGACAGAGAGAGAGGGGAGAAAGGAGAGGGAGGAGAGAGGAGAGAGAGAGGGGAGGGGAGAAAGGAGAGGGAGGAGAGAGAGAGGAGGGAAGAAAGGAGAGAGAGGAGAGAGAGAGGAGGGGAGAAAGGAGAGAGAGAAGACAGAGAGAGAAGAGAGAAGACAGAGAGAGAGGGGAGAAAGGAGAGGGAGGAGAGAGGAGAGAGAGAGGGAGGAGAGGGAGGAGAGAGAGAGGAGGGGAGAAAGGAGAGAGAGGAGAGAGAGAGGAGGGGAGAAAGGAGAGAGAGGAGAGAGCGAGGAGGGGAGAAAGGAGAGAGAGGAGGGGAGAAAGGAGAGAGGAGAGAGAGGAGAGGAGAAAGGAGAGGGAGGAGAGGGAGGAGAGGGAGGAGAGAGAGGAGAGAGAGAGAGGAGGGGAGAGGGAGGAGAGAGTGAAATCATTCATTCAAACAGGGGGGGTTACATGAAGCAAAGCATTGAAATAAAACCCTAAATGATGAACGAGGCAAAGTGGCGACTACCACCGAGCATCTTCTTGATTCCTCTGATCGTAAAAAATAAAAAAGGAAGACAGAGTGAGGGAGGGAGGGAGGGAGGGGAGGGAGGGAGGGAGGGGAGGGAGGGGAGAGAGGGAGAGGAGGCAGGGAGGGAGGGGAGGGGAGGGGAAGGAGGGGGGGAGGGAGGGAGGGGGAGGGAGGGGGGAGGGGAGGGAGGGGGGGAGGGAGGGAGGGAGGGAGGGAGGGGGGAGGGAGGGAGGAAGGGGAGGGGAGGGAGGGAGAGGGAGGGAGGGAGAGAGGGAGGGAGGGAGGGAGGGGAGGGGAGGGAGGGGGGAGGGAGGGAGGGGGGGAGGGAGGGAGGAAGGGGAGGGGAGGGAGGGAGAGGGAGGGAGGGGAGGGAGGGGAGGGAGGGAGGGAGGGAGGGAGGGGAGGGGAGGGGAGGGAGGGAGGGAGGGAGGGATGGAGGGGGGAGTGAGGGAGGGAGGGAGGAGAGGGAAGGAGAGAGGGGAGGGGAGGGGAGGGAGGGGAGGGAGGGAGGGAGTGAGACAGGGATGCCCATTGTCAGGCCAACTTCATGCCCTGGCTTCAGAGTCTTTCCTGAGTCTCATCAAGCGGAGACTCAGCAGCCTGGTGGTCAGGGAACCAAGAGTCAAGTTGGCCATGACGGCATACACCGACGACGTCCTCCTCCTCCTCATCCTGCGCTCCCTGGCTGATGTCGCCCTGCTGCACGAGTGCCAGGAGGTCTCTTCGAAGGCCTCCTCGTCAAAAACGGACTGGCGGGGCCTGCCGGTTGGAGCGTGGGACGTGACCGAGCGTCCCGAGAAGGCAACAGCCGTCGACTGGAGTCACAACATCGCTGCTGCACCACCTGGGCAGCGTCCCTGGGACCAGAGGAGGAACCACCGCAGAGGAACCGGATCGAGCTGCAGGAGAAGGCGAAGGAGCGGCTGGGCACCCCGGGGTCGCCCGTGCAAGTCGCTCACCTTCAGGACAAAGACGTTGGCGGTGAACCAGCTGGTGACACGTCCATGCTGTGGCTCCGACTCGTCTCCCCGCACCTCCCCCCATGAGCCTCGTCAGCGCGCCTTCAGAAGCGAGTCCTCGACTTCTTCCGGTCGGGTGGAGGTCACCGGAGTCGCGGCCGGGGTCCTGGCCCTGCCAGTGTACGAGGGCTGTCACGGGCTGGTGTGTGTGGAGTCAGCTGGCCTCCTTCCTCCTGAAACAGCTGGGGGGGGGGTCTGCAGTGCTCCAAGCGACTGTTCTACGTGGACCTCCAGGGCCTCCCACTGGGACAGCCGCCACCCTTCTACAGGGAGCGTCCTGCAGACGTGGAGCTCCCTCGGCGTCAGGAGGCTGAGCCAGCCGCGATCGGCCGAGGATCTGGTCTTCGAACCGATCCTCGGGAA